AGAAGCCATGTCACGGCGGTGGGAAAGTGACCAAAGTCGAGATGCCAGGTTAGGACCAGTAACATTGCAGACCCTCCATTGGATTTTGTCGAGGATCATGAGATATATTGTAGAAGCATTCGACCAAATATGACAACAATAATCAATACACTTACTAAAAAAACAACCAGCAGACTCAGCAATTGATTTAATATAATCACTCCACTTTATGTCAATGGAAAACATAAGACCGAAAAGGTGTAATGACTTTTTCTCTTGGCGGTTAGCATCAGCCGTACAGATAGGAGGCCAAAAGTAGTTTTCTACAACATAGCAGTTTCGTTTTGGAGGCGTTAGAATTTACAAACGTCAGTTAACAACTAACTGAAGGTTATTTTCGAGATCAGCTGCCAGTTTCACTTTATCGGACCTATCGGGCTTACTATTAAACGGGAGTAACTAGTTACGTCATCAGCATATATACCTAGTTGGGAATTGATGAGGAAGATAGTTGATTAAGATAAAAAAGAACTTAGGTTCAAGAATACATTATTGTGAAAGGATTTACAGGCGTGATCGTTCAACACAACTTTAATTTCACATTAAGAATGATTGTATCCGGTAGAATATTCTTCCAGGGACACCATAAACCTCCAAATTGGCCAGTATTCCAAACCATGTCAAACGCCTTCAAAGTATCTATAGCCATAGCCTGAGCCTCGACACTCTTATGTAAAGCGTGATAGACAAATTCACTAACAAGCATTAATAAAACGGCGGTTGACATAGAGAAGAGAAAGCCCTATTGTTAATCTTGGTTGGCAGTGTTTGTAAATATATGGATTATATGTTTGTTTTATTTGTCTTGTAAGGTTGTTTATACACCCAGCTGAATATTCACTCCTACAGATAAAAGTAACCATCTATCTCTTTCTATGTCTCTCTCTCTCTCTCTCTTTCTCTCTCGATATATATATATATATATATATATATATATATATATATATATATATATATATATATATGTATGTATGTATGTATTTAAAGCAACATGTCTCGCCGCATACACAATTCCGGAAAATTCTCGTTGAAAACACAACTATACTTAAATATGAAAACAATAAGCAATAACTAAAAATTCTTGAAGCTATATACATAAAACAGTTGAAATTGTTTTGTCCGTATATTGTTTAATATATTGAAATGTAATTGTCATCTTTGACATTTTAATCCTATGCAAGCTGAAAGCTTAGATAGGATTAAAAAAAAACATGTATCAATATGATGATTTTCTTTCATCTTTTAATGATAATCTTATTAAACTTATCAGACGATATGAAAAGAATTTACATAACCTAAATAGACAAAACTTGTCTATATTATTTAATGAAACATGCATCAATGAAAAAATGCTGCCTATATACACACACACACACACACACAGATAGATAGATAGATAGATAGATAGATAGATAGATAGATAGATAGATAGATAGATGTGCGTAAAGGCGTCCCCGTTCAGCTCCTTGAAGACACCCACGGGCAGCTCGCTCTAATATGTACAAATTCTGGTAGAATGTGTTTGTCGGTCGCTGGTCAAAGAAGTCACTTGAGAGCGCACCAGGGGAAGGTGACAATTGACTATAAAACCGTAGACGTCCAGAAACTGAAATGTGATATTTGTGGTAAGATATGCGGGTCCAGAAGCGGTTTCATGCGACATTTTAAATTGCATGATAATGTAACACTCGCTGTTCCACCCCTTAAGTGCCCTGTTTGCGCCAGAGTATGATGGTGCCTTGCTGGGCTAAAGAGCCACGTTTCTTCAGCACATCAGTAGATTTTCTCCAAAAAGATATAATGGTAATGGCCGTACTCGGACACGTGTTGTCAACCACTATATATATATATATATATATATATATATATATATATATATATATATATTGCAGAAAATATGTGCGGGTATACTTCTTACAGAATGATGTAAGTATGGTATTTCGATTAAAGAAATTTCAGAGATAATAATAATAATAATAATAATAATAATAACAACAATTTTATGGGACTACACTATACACACACACACAACAATCAAGGCTAACCGACCAGACATTGTTATTAGAGACCGAAGACAAAAAATTGCCTCCTTATTGATATGGCAGTCCATACAGACTGTAATGTATCTTCGAAGATCCTCAAAAAGCTGTCAAAATACAAGGACCTTGAAATCGAATAAAAATGTCAAAAATGTGGTACATGGGAACATCAACAATCCCTGTTGTAGTTGAAGCTCTCAGATTGGTTCGAAAATATTCCAATAGACTCATTGAGGGTATTCCTGGAATCCCATGCCTTAAAGAAATACAAAACATTGTTCTCAGGAGTACAGCCCACGCCTTACGAAGTGCTTTTTATATCTTAAGTATTCTCTATTGTAGAGATGGTTGTATATGAAAAATCCAAGAAGCTAAACAGATTTTCATATAATCAGATTCGCTCGCCTAGTACCAACGACCATATCGTTTTGAAAGCCAACTTAAACAACCGTCTTTTTAAAAACATAAGTTCTGTTTACTTTTATTTGCCTGTCCGTTTGAATTGACATGTCCCAGAGGATAGTTACATCGTTATTTTGGGTAATCGTGTCTGATTGGTGCACAGTGGTTTCGATTTTGTGCTTCTTGCATATCTTCCAGTGCACATGTGTCTCGATCTTGTTATGTATATAACAAGATAGGGTATATTTATTTTGCCAGTTCCGGAAATTCTAAGATAATATGGTCGACGATTTAAACAGATTTTTCGCAGATTTTGTATTTTAGGTTAATTTCCATCATTGATTATATGACAGTGATAGGATCTGTTTGAGAGGCTTTGGTCCTGAGTTGAAATAATTAGGCCTTCTGTTTCAGTTTTCAGTCCGGTGCTCCTCAGCCACTGATGTGTTTCCTGTTGGGCCACATCAGTTTCTTTTGTTCTTTTTATGTATTTGTCATGCAACGCTTTGTCCTCCCTGTTTGTTTTTTATAATTTTCATTATTAAATCTCGTCTTCGGTGCTCAAGTCATTTTTTTAAATTATGTTTTACAGATAAAGTCTCCGTAGAACAACTATAAACCTGTCATCAAGCTGTCAACACATCGAATCAGCTATTGTTCAGTTAAAAATACTTTTTGTGATATTTTAAACTCAAAGTAAATAGTATTTGTTTCAAATAAGATTAATTATACTTTAAATTAACTAATATCCCTCAAATAAAGTTTCAGAAAATTTATATTTTATTTTTACAAGATTTTTAAAACTGTGAATGAACTTGTGTTTAAAAATGATTCAAAAATGGGCAACGAGGAAAAGAAATAAAAATCGATTTCAATCAATATAATTTCTGTTGGAAATACACCAGAGTATTTTGCTTACTGGAAACAGTAAATTTAATATTTTAGCTTTCAATTGAAGCTAAAATGCAAGTCTCAAAAAATCTTTTTCATTTTTTTAAAATAATTTAAACCTTAGGTATCACGATTTTTGTGGAGGTACCTATTTATAAGTCTACCATGCGTTCATGCTTTGAATATTGCTGCCACATATGGTCTGGTGCTTCTGCTATATATCATCAGGCCGAAATTACAATACATATATATTCGGGTTTCAATTCTCGGTAGTGGATGCTCACTGCTGACGAGTCCCAAATATAGGACGAAACGGCCGTCCAGTGCTTTCTGCATTCTGTTGAGGTTTCTTCTAGACACGATGAATTATATATATATATAATAATCGACTCTCCCGTCGAGATTCGACGCATGAGGGTCAAGTAGATCAGTATATATATATATATATATATATATATATATATATACGTACATACATCAAAGGAAAAAACTTACCACATCATCGAAGAATTCTGTAATAAATTTATTTCGACAGATAAGTTTTTAATATCTGCCTCATCAGGCCGAAATTACAATATATATATATATCGTCGTCGTCGACTCTCCAGTCGAATTCGACGTATGAGGGACAAGCAGATCAGTTCGTAGGAAACCGACAGCCCGACAACAGCACATGAGATTTGATTATAGAGGTGAAGGTTTCGTGCAGGACCATCCACACTTTTTCAAGGGCCGAATACAGAGACCTGGGGCACTAAGTTCCACAAGGTCCCCAGACGACCCTCCGCAGGTTTTGAATTCAGAGTTGTCCTTCTCCTAGACCAGTTGCCATTCAAGGCTATAGAACCCAGTCTATCCTTCTACTTACCCATATATATATATATATATATATATATATATATATATATATATATATATATATATCGGGTTTCAATTCTCGGTATATATATATCATATATAAGAACTGGAATTTTATGGTTTCAGAAGCATAAAAGCTGCACAATTCATCGAATGGTTATTGGGTTTTGAAAATGATTTATTGAAAATAATTAACAATATGTCTTTTTATAAACATGAAGATCATTTTCAGAGACATCTCGACTAAGTTGTAAAGGATTCGTCTGATGAAGTTTTTGGTAAATCTGACGAAAGAGCAAATTTCTATAAAATCATTCCTAAAGATTATAATGGTTTAATTAGAAAAAAACTTAACTAAGAATTATAGGAAAATTGATAATATTTTGAAAGTAACCTTCCTACTAGGATCATCAACCCTATTAGACCAAGAAATTGGTAAAATCAGTAAAACTATCCTTGATAGAATCAACCATTCATTTAAAACCGCCTTGGACTGGTACAATGGATAAATACCACTGATGTCATCAAGTGGTTGAATAATATTGTGATTTTCTAACCTCGGCTTAGATATGGCACGAAGTCGAAAGTATGAGGAACCCAGTGAAGATCGAACTCACTTGCAATTGATATAGCAAGGCAATCTTTTTAACCATTACACCACGTCGAGGTGCCCGAAAATGAATTTCTAAGCATAGCTTAAATGTGACACAAGTCCGAAAGTATGGGGCACCCAGTGATGATCGAACTCACAATTCAATGGTAACAGTTTTAGCGAGACAATCTTGCTAACCATTACACTACGCCTAAATGACCAAAATGATTTTTTAAGCTTAGCTTAGATGTGGCACAAAGCCGAAAGTTGGGATCACCTAGTGAGGATCGAACTCACAACTCACTCGTAATTGATGTAATGAGAGAAACTTGTTAACCATTACACTACGTCGAAGTGTCCAAGTGGTTTAATAATATATAAATGATGAATCTAATTATTCACTGATCCAGTTTGATATTTTGGATTACTACCCATCCATTTGCAGGGATCTCTTTACATGGGCATTGGAATTTGCCACCGAGAACTTCGATCTATCAAACGAGGAACTGGACATTATTATGGACTCTAAAAAATCTGTCCTTATCCATAACAAAGAACAATCGATAATGCAGTTGACCAATTCACAATGGGATCGTTAGAATCTGCTGAGTCTTCCGACCGCGTTGGTTTGTTCATATAATATAACCTTAGTGCTCACTATGATATCAATTTAGAAGACATAGGTTTATATAGAGATGACGGCCTTATGGTGGTGAAAAATTCTACGAAAATCAAAATTGACAAAATCGGGAAATTAATACAATAGTCTAAACCTGAAAGTTAAAATCAATACAAATTTAAAAAAAAAAAAATTAGATTTCCTCGATGAACACTAGACTTAGTCAATATTACATACCAGTCCGACATGAAAACTAATGCAAATCCATTATATATCCACCTATATCCATAATCAAACACATAATCTCCTCCATAGGATATAGAATCAGTAATGAGTCTTCCGGTAAAGATGTATTTTATAAACATAACAACTTTTACAAAACTGCTTTTAAAATAGTGGCTATAAGTGCCCTTGTATTAAATATAGGAAATATAACGGTCTTAGTAGGAAAAAATAGAAACAGAAAAATCATTTGATACATTCCCCCATTTAATCAAATGTTTAGTACTAATTTATGACAGAGTTTTCTCAATTTAATTGATAAGCACTTCCCTAGTAATAATCCTTTTAGTAAGATTTTTAAGAAAAATACACTTAAATTAAGTTATAGCTGTACAGATAACTTTGAACATATTATTAAAGAAACACAATAATAAAGTTTTAAATCAACACTTAAACCTAAGTAACAATAGCAACAAACAATAATTATACCAACTTTTGTAATTATAGAAATCCTAACGACTGTCCACTACAAAATAGATGTCTAATTGTTTACCTAAACACTATTTAATCTAGAGAAAATCCAACTGATAAAAAATTTTATTAGGTAGTATCAAATATTTCTTTAAAACTCGGTGGTATCAACACATCATCTTTCAGTAACAATGCGTATCGTAACAGAATATCCCTTTCGAAATATTTTTGGCATTTAAAAGAAGTTAACAAAATTCCTACGGTAAAATTGAAAATATTAAAAATAACTAGAACCTGTAAATACTTACATATCGTAGACGAACTCTTCGAGAATCGCTCCGTCCACTCGTCATGGGTATCTGCAATTGACTGTTTATACTTCTAGATTTTTTCTTTTTTATATTCACTTTTCATTGGCGCAAGTTTTTTTTTTTTTTTTTCATAGTGTATGTGTGCGTGAGTGTTTGTGCGTTCGTATACGTGTGGAAGGTCGTGATTTTCATCGATTTTTTTTTTCACTTTTACACTAACACCATTTACGTCTTTTGTCTTTTTTTCCCCACTTTTCTTTCAATTGTAGCCATTTTTGACTTATAAAACGTATTAGTTTTAGGCAGATTGCACATACTTGTTTTGTTCACAGTTAGGTTCCACTCAAATAAAAATGCACACACACAGACACACATACAGATATCCACACAAATCGACTTCATTTCTACTCGGCATCAATATTTATTTTTCAAAAGAATTTATTTTTATTTGTTTGTTCGTTGTCTTTTTGGTTTTTTTTTACTTTTTTTTTTTTGCTTTACTCATGAAAAAACATACGGCAAATTGATTAGTGTTGCTTTTTCGACTCCTACTTAAATTAAAACCTCTTCTTCTTCTTCTTTTTTCCATTTAACTTTTAAGCAAATGCAAGACTAACAGAAAAAAAAAATTGTTTTTTTTTTTTTTTAAAAGAAAATCCTGCGCTGAATAAAATTTCAAGTTTTTCGTGATTTTTTTTTTTTTTTTAAAAAGAAAAAACAAACACAATATTTGTTTTTTTCGATGACTTTAACGAATTTGTTAATTTGCGAGAGACTGGATAAAAGTTTTCTTTAAATTTTAAATTTCAATTCTTCAACTGTCGAGCAATATTTAATAACGCTGAATGTTTTCTAAGGCGCTATACAATTTCCTACACATGCCGTGTTATGAAAACAACAGCTGTGTGCCAGCCAAACTATCATATGATAACCTTGTGTGCATCATTATCACTAATCAAGGGCGCTCTACAAATACCTCACGATACTTCTTCTATATGTGCCGTGCCCCCTCAGGACGTAGGCGATCATGGCCCTCCACAACTTCTTGTCCCTTGT